CCGCTCCCTTTATTTACCGCCATCATCGCACGCGCGAGCTGTCACCAGCGTGAGACACCCCAACGCCGCCGGCCACGCCCTCTCCCCGCCCATTGGCCGCCCGCCGCGCCCCGCCCCGCCCCGCTATTGGCCAGAGAGCGCGCCACACAGCGTGCTCGCTCCGCCCCTCGCTTCGCTCCCCATTCACCACCGCCGCCTACGCCAATTCCGTAGCGGCGCGGGTGTAGCGGAGCGCGGCGCCGTCCCGGGCGTGACGGCGCTGCCGGCGCTCAAGCGGACGCTGTTTGCGTAGCTAGCGCCGTGGTAGAGGAAGCTCTGGCGGAGCTTACGAGCTTTGCGCAGCCGCTAGGGGGTGCTTCTGAGTGGCTCACGGTTGAGTAGAGGGACGGCGGCGCTGAGGGGCAGGGAGCGGCTGGGCCCGGCCCCGGGCGGTGACGTAGCGGGCTTTGTGAATCCCGGGCTAAGTTTGGTTGAGAAGCAGGAGGGTAAATAAGGATGGTGCGGAGACAAAGGGACTCTTAAAGGGGCAGCGCGGCGTTGACGGGGCTCTGAGGCGATGGGGGCGGGGAGACCCTCGGGGGGCGGCGGGGCGCTGAGCTCATGGAGGAGCACGAGCCGCAGCGGGGGCACCCGGCGGGTAACACCGACCCCCTCCTCCCCCCACCTCCTCGGCTCTGACAGCCTGCCGCTCATCTTACAGAACCCCACCGCGCCGTTCTGGACAGAAGAATTAAAATTGATGATTAAAATTGATGATTAACGAGGCCTGGGGAAAACAACCTTCCAGACCGTGCCTTGACAGGGAGGATGAGGGTGGTTTTCGATTACCCTGGCACGAGCCATTAAGGTAACGCCATTGAAAGCCCCCTGAAGACTTGTTAGGACGCAGACCGGCGTTTTGAGCCGCGCTGACCTGCCGCAGTGATGCTGGGAGCAGGGAGCAGAACGATGCTTAGTACAGCTGATGAGGATCGAAAGGAAAGAAGTTGTTTTGTCCACCGGGAACGTGAAAGACTGGGAGGGAAGATTGAGGTTGGAGGTCAGGGGGAAATTCTTTGCTATGAGAGTGGTGAGGTGCTGGAACAGCTGCCCAGAGAGGCTGTGATGCCCCGTGCATCCCTGGAGGTGTTCAAGGCCAGGTTGGATGGGGCCCGGGGCAGCCTGGGCTGGTATGAAATGGGGTGGTTGGTGGCCCTGTATGTGGTGGGGGTGTGGGAGATTCATGATCTTTGAGGTCCCTTCCAACCCTGGCCAACGCAGCAACAGCAGCAGACGTTTTTGCTCAGGCATACAGAGCCAAATCCTACCCATACTTACACACGTGGAAGCCTGCTGGCGTCAATGGCTGCAATGGTGTAACTGAAGGCAGAATGTAGCTCAAGGGGTCCTGTTTTATTACTCTGGGAACAGCACAACATATTAATAAGAGCACAGAAGTCCCCAGAGATGCCAGCACACGTTTTATATTTTTAAGACCATCTTTCAGGAATTAGTAAAGCACTGGCAATGTTCAGTGTGACTAATCTGGTCATTAGAAGGAAATTCTTTTTTTTTTTACCTCAAGATTTAAAAAGTGAAACAAAGTGAAATAACTACCCGTACAAACAGCAGTTTGTTTTCACAGCCGCACTTAGCTGACTGCAGCTCACGTTCTGTAACCATCACCTGAAAACCAATAGTCCCGCTGAAGTCAGTGCACAACTCATCAAGCCGAGCTGGGAGCTGCAGAAACTCAGCACAGTCAGCATGTTGGAATTTCTCGTGCACTTACGGTGCATTCTGCTATTTATGACGGCTTATCAACCAGCTCTTTCTAGAGCCGGTGCTGATTAAATGTATTAAATGCCTACACTGAAAGCTCTAGACCCTGTAAGAGTTAATTAGGTTTACAGGTATAAATGAAAATAAAAAAGAAGCCACTGCTAAGTAATTAGTTCTCCACCAGTCAGCAAATCAACTAAAAAGCAGCTTCTTCACTGCCTGCTGTTTCAGATTGAAAAAATCTATTTAGGAGGGAAAAAAAAATCTCTGTTTTCTTTTCTCTTCAGAATCTTCAAGACCCATTTATCAGCAAGTAACCAAAATTGTTTCTTGCTGGAAGACACACGCTGCTTCTTCACCAGGAACCCATTGCTCCCTTTGCAAATCCCCTTACACCTTTCTTTTCATCCAGGACAAGGGCTGCAGAGCTGGCACCGTGCTGAGCACAGCCTTCCCAGGAACTGCAGGGGAAGCTCAGCACAGAGGTTGCTGGCTGAACAAGGTGTTGTGCTGCTTCTGAGACGAGGCAGGGGGTGCAGCAGGGGGAGAGAGGGAAAAACTGCAGCTACAAGCCAGGCAGATGCTGAGTATGTAAAACCAAGGGGACAAATAGCTCAAAAGGGACGCGATATCCCTGCTTTTCCTGCCATAAAAATAAGTCATCACTGAAAAATATTCAAGTGATATCGTACAGTTAAGCCTCATCAGAAATTTTTGGCTCTCATTCCACAGATCCTTCTTACTCCAGTAAATCTGCTGATATCACCAGGATTTCTCTGGAGAGGAATGGTGTGCAGCAGTGGGGCATTTATTGCAGGCCTTTCAAACCGTGAGATAAAGCAGTTGGCTTCCTCTTCCAGTGCATGAGGCCTCCTGCCACGCTTATTTATTTATTTAGCACTGGGCTTTAACTGAGAAGGGGAAGACTTTAATACTCCCATCTGATATCAAAGATGAAGGCAAGCTAAGAACATACCTGTAACAGGAATACAAGACTTCCTGTAGACTTCCTGCCACAGGGAAATTAGTTTGCTACAGTGGTATAAAGCTCTTGAACCTAATCAAAGATAAAACTCTGTTAAAGAATTGTCTCCACGCAACAGAACATTTCAAAAGCTGTAAATAAACAATACAAAGCAGAACAACACTCGCTGTGCACAGACTCCATCTTCTCACAAAAAGACAGCTTTTTATTTTGACAAAAAATAACAAGACATTTTCACACAAATATTGCAGTAAAAAAAAAAAAAAAAATCCTTTCTCCTAGCTGTTTGCATTCAGTGAGACTCTGCCCTCTGCATGCGTTTGGCTGGGATTCCTTTGCCAACAAATGGTAATCCCCCTGCATGAAGCACTGCACCGAGAACCAGCAGAGCCATGGGCCTGAGCACAGACACACAGAGAAGGAAGAAGGAGGGGGAGGACAAGAAGAAATCCTCGTGGCATTCAAAACCTTTGCTTTCAAATGGTGCAAAGAGATTTGGAAGGAAAAAAAACTTTGGGCTGACAGCAGTGCTGCTTCTTGGAGAAACTCCTGATCTGCAGAAAGGATGCAGCTGCTCTGCACAGAGCTCTGGGAGTCCTTTCACCTGATTCCTGCTACAGGCACCTGCTGCTGCTTGCGGATCTTGTTGAACAGCTCCATGTACTGAACCATTGTGTCTGCGGGGCTGTAGATGCTGTCATGTTTGGTGCCAAACACAGACGGGATGCCGGGAGTGTGGCTCCCCATGAAGCTCTGCATGAACTCCATCAGCAGGTTCCAGCAGTCGTTGGCTATCACACAAGGGCAGTATTCCACCTGGCAACAGAAACCACAGCCCTGAAGCTCACTGCAGGGCCATAACCACGCACAGGACAACGTACGTTCCTCTCTCTGCCTCACTGTTTTAAATATGAGATATGCATCGAGAGTTTGAAGGCAGCAAGCAGCCCCTCTGTGCTGTGGCTGCAGAAGGAAAACAGTGCTCTTCTCTTTGAGAATGTTGAGCATGTAACAGCAGAAGGATGGACAAACATACGAACAGGACATGCAGGGAATATGCAAGCCACCTCTTCAAAAGAGAAGAAAAAGAAAGGGAAATTTACCCGGTAAGTTTGTTGGTCATATTAAATCCCCTGTACTGGAAAAGCAATGATAAACTTCATTCCCACAAATTGGTATATGAACAGCTTATGTGGCCATGACTTCTTTCAGGTGTGTAATGATAAAGCCTTGAGATTTAAGGACTTGCAGTTCCAGATCAGGAATTATGTCCTAAAGGACACCCTGAAAACAAACTACTAAACCAAAGCAGAAGCAACCAGACTGCTAAGAAAATCTGGTCCTGAACTCAAGCTTAGGGTAAAACAGGCTTCTCTTTAACCCCAGGTCAACAGCAGTGCTCACACTACTACTTTTGTGTTTATTCCTGTGAAGCCACTTCTTAATCCCATCCCTGCTAGCTAGGAACACCTGCCCGGGTAGATGCAGCGTCATTATTAATTATAGACCAGTTAATAGGATTTGTGTGTTTAGCAAGACATGAGCTCAGATTTTGAAAGATCTTCCAACACCTAATTCTCAGCTACCTTAAAGACTGCTAGGCACCAACACATCTACATGTCTGGAGCCCCACCTGCTCTGCTTTGCCCTTCCTGTACCAGCACAGCCCAGCTCCTTGTGTTAATCCAAGATGTTTCTGAACTGCTGAGGCTTGTCCATAGCTTGAGTGCCTTGCACTCGCACCTGCAACCAGCCAACCACCTCCAGGACCATCCTGGGTCCTGCCACACAGAGTCCTGTGCACAGATACATCTCCCTCTACAGCATTCAAGGTTTGCTGCAGCCCAGCTTCCACCCTGTGACTGATGCTCTCGAGTCTTATCAACAGCCACAGTACTGAGCAGAGCATGGAAGCCATCTGATGAGAGGCTCTGAGCCCACACAGCACCCCACGGTGCAGCAATCCAGGCCAGCACACCTGGGGCAGCACTGACGTCCGCAGCACACAGCGCTCTGATGAGGAGTGAGCAGCTTTAGAGCCAAACCTGCGGCAGGAGGGCACCGTTTGGTGCTGCTCGGCCCAGCCACTGTCTGCACAAGGTCAGGAAAGAAAGCAAAACCCAAACCAGCATTAAATTAGCAGCAAAGTGTTCTACCCGCCTCAGTATGTTTATTAACCTGAAGTGCACTTCCAGCATTGTGCATCAGTATTTTAAGCAACTTTTTGGTTGGATGGCTTTCCTTCAGGGTTTCGTCTATGGACACCTCAACAGCAGGCTTTTCTGTCGGCACAGCTGAGCTCTGCAGTACCTGAATTAAACCTTACTGTGAGGAGATAA